ATGAAAGAATGAGGGTAAAGTGAAAATAAATATTTAAAAACATTTCTGACATGCTGTAAAATAACCCTCTCGCTTTAAACTTTCTCAGAAATATTCCTATAAAGAATTAAAGCTGTATCTGACAATGTCATCTGTAGTTTGAGCATTTTCTAAACTACATCTTCAATAAGCAGATCCATATGATGTTAAATAGTTCTGAACTGTTAATGTTAATTGTTAATTTGACTGATTTGATTCTATATATAAATATATGTGCATATATATTTAAAAAACAGAAAAATATCATGGATCTGCCTAATCGATCAGAAAACTACAGATGACATCATCAGTAATCTTACAAAATGACTCAAACCAACCTTAAAGGTGCCTGGTATTCGCACATAGCTGAGGTCTTCAAGTTCTGGAGAACCTCCAATAAAGAAGCATCTCAGTGTTGAGACTGTTCCTCTCTGCAGGGGTCTCCACGTATGACATGTTATCACATGGTTACCTCGAGACATACAAAGGTGCACATATATATTTGTTGTTTTGGATGTTTTTGTAATTTTCAACAATTTAATGATAGAAATTACAAAGTTAAAAAAACCAAAAACATCTACCAGGTTCAGATGGAAAAAGCACATAACCATAGCCTTCAGTTCGATAGCGCTGCCAGGAGTCCAGAGAAAGAACCTTAAAGTAGATCATTGGCCACTGAGGAACTGTTCCTAAAACATCAGTGAAAGAATCAGTTAAATGAGGTCAAAATAAAAAACAAAAAAACAAAAACCAAAATGAGACAAAATCTTGAGAAAATATATATACAGTAAGTGACTGACCTTCGCTCTCCTTTTCACTCATGTAGAAAGCCTCATAGCTGAAGGGGAAACTGAAGAAAGCTACATTTTCCTGCTGGCAGATTGATTGTGGTTGACCAAGGTTTTCCATTTTATTCCAAATTAATTAATACATTTTAATAATATACAGTCACCTTCCCTATTGTTTTGGTTCGGCAGGTCTGTGTAACCCCTGACAGCGACTGGAAAGGCAAACTGGACCAATCTGAAACAGACAAGACCAACAGATGAAGTGACTGATTGAGTTGACCAGATTCAACACAACACATATTTTAAAACTCACTGCTGGGCAGTTCCATAAAGAAGTGGATGTATAAGTTGTCATATTCAAAGCCTTGGGCTGAGACTAAGAAAGAAGAAGAAGATGAAATTTCATCAGTTAAAACGATTGAACGGAAAAAGTTTTCTTTGTGGATGTCACATCTTTACAACCTACCAATTTCTCCATTTACTAGGTAACGCAGAATACCTGCAGGTGGCTAGAAGAGAAGAAGTTAATAATTAATTTATGTAAACACTAGCGTATAGAAAACAGGAAAATTTAAATACCATTTCGAAATCCTGTCCCACAAGGCTATTGAGATATTCCTTGTGTCTTGTATAGAGCTACAGAAACAGACAGAATATATGTTAAAATTTTAAAAAAGTATTTTCTCATGGATATGATATTGCACTAAATTTAAATGAAACCCCAAAGAAAGAGTGCTGTAAAATAGAACTTACATCTTTGTACATGTTTTGTTCCCTGTCCTTGTCCTCTGTCTTCATGGTTGGGGATATGTTCTTCACAATAAGTCGCCAAACTTCTCTCTTTTCCCCCTTTGTTACAATCCTGTTTCAATAACATATATGTTATATATATATGAATATATATATATGTCTTATTCAAAATATGATATAATCCCATGGTTTGTTTTTCCTCTCTAAACAGAAAGCAGTGACAGAGTACAGCTTACATAGTTGTTTGAATGTAGAACCACTCACCTGTAGGGCCCTTTGTCTGTGTTGAAGTCAGGTTTGACAATGACTGTTCCACTACCATCTGTTTTTATGGTTAGGAGAAGATATTCATTTTCCTTCACCCCCAATCTGAAAAAGCAAAATATCACACCTAAATCTCAATGTTGTTGTCTTTGCATGCTATTAACCTAGGAATTTTAAGATACAATGTGTACATGTAACATTTAGAAGAAATTCATCTAATTTTTTTTAAACTAACCAGGGTATATGGAGATATCTGTCCAACAAGTATATCTAAAAGTGGGTATATATGATCTTTGATTTTATTACTTTTATCACCATGTCCAAAGTATACAAAAAATAAGGTAAGTAGCACACATTTGTTTTCTGTAGTAATGGGTTTTACCTTCCAGGAGGACCCAGGTCTCCCATAATGTGCATTGTCTGCATAGCATTATTAACCACACGACTGTTCTTCACAAAGTCATCTGTTGGCTCCCAGTTGATGATTTTTGATTTAGGGATAGTAGAATCCCTACAAAATACACAAAATCCATACAAATCACATTATCCATTTCGGCACAAGTCAAAATAATATTGCTTGGATAGATGTTTTAAACGTAGTTCTTTGATGTAAATCCATGTGAATAAGTGAAACAGTTGGTTGACCTACATGGTGCGTCTGTCCTGGCGTCTGTGTTTTATACTGGCCATCCTTTCAGCCAAGAAAGTAGGGGTAGATTTTGATGTCATCAATAAGTCAGAGTCCTGCTTTGAGAGCAAAACAAGTTACTTTCAAGCCAAACAAAGATTACCGCTCTACGAGTTGGGAGTAAATTAAAAATATGTATTTCTGTTTACAAAGTGATTCTCTAATTTCTTCATGTTTTTTTATTATTGGCTAGTTTTTTGGTTTTGCAAATGAAAATGAGAGGAACTTACCAGCTGGCTGAATGGAAGGCAGTTGGTATAACGATCATGATCAGTGTAGGTAAATATCCTGTGATTTCGTCGACTTTTTGCTTTTTTCAATGCTTTGACCTCTGTGTGGTACTGTTGGTCCAGAGGAGTCTGACATACTGCCTCATTCTGGAACAGCTCCATCTCATACTGTGGCCACACACAACATGGGGAAGATGTGATGAGATTAAAAAAATATTTTTGTTCCAACCAAGAGGTTGCACTTTTTCCAGTTTCAATTATAAATAATAACTAAATCAAGATTTACTGACAAAAAAACAGTAAAATAATATTTAAAAAAAAATAATAGTTTATATCTATAGTTTATATCTAGGTGTACTAAAATAATAGTTTTATCACATTACTGTGGACAATTCTGTACCTTTGGCAGTACATCTATAGGTGCTACATCTACTACCTGACTGAAGAATTTCTCCTGCCATCCCACCTCCAGTTCCTCTTCATTATCACCTAGTTATACAACATACATTTTTTTGACCATAGATATGTAAGTATTAGTGCAACACATACAGTTTTTTCACCTACCACCAATGAATGGATTTTACCTTGCTGTCCCTTTGAGGTAAGGGTCTTAAGTTCAATGGCTCCTCTATCCTCTTGGGACAGAACTTCCTGCTGGAGGTGCTGTGAAAGTGCTGCTGTGGAAGTCACCCGCTCTATACGCACCCTAAAGAGACAAAAAATATAGTGTCAAAATAATAGTCTAAAAAATGCGTTCGGTGTTAGGAAAAAAATCATATTGCATTCAAATGCTTACTTTATTTTTAGATTTTTAACAGCATCCCGGGATCGATACACAGCCTCCCCAGTGTCTGTGTTCCAGAAATCTGCCATGGGTGGTTAGCGTGCTATTAGCTGAAGCTACTCTGCTTCTTTAATCGTAGTTGTCTTCGACGTAGTTGTAACTAGAATGGGATTAACTGATTGTGGACATATTTCAGTCTCATAAAAATAATCAATTCAATCGACTGAGGCTACTTGGAGAAGCTAGCATGCTAAATCACGCGAAGGGGCGAGATAGTTGTCGTTGCCATAGAGATAATGGTAGTTCTTCTTCGTGTGATCATTACTGCCACCTACTGTGATGAAGTTAAATCTTCTCGAAAGAATCCGTCTCCTTATAAGGGTGATGCAATCTAGATTAAATAGTTTCTTATTTTTTATTTAATTGAAATAAATTAAAAGATAAAGCAACCAAATGTCGCTTAGGTTTTTTTTTCAACATTTTCTTTATTCCATGAGACCATTTTACGGCGAGCCTAAAGGGACATGGAAAAAATAAATAAATGTTTCATCACCAAACCTTAGGGGGCAGCAAAGATACGAAATAAAGGGCGTGCTTCAAAAAATAAAAACACGAATTAGAGATGGTGGTTTGTGGACCAATCACAGCACCTGGCGGGTCATGGGTTGTTGTGCCGAGTAACCCATACGTCACTTTCATTTTTTTAATATTTTAACATTGCCTCATCATGGCGTCGTTTGTGACTGAAGTACTCGCCAGTTCAGGCAAACTGGAGAAAGAGGACCTAGCCGGTAAAATAAACAAAATGTCGCGCAAAGTGGCTGATGCAAAGGTAAAAAAGAGATCAATTTGCTGTTGTGGCATTTGTCGTACAAAGTTCGACTTAGCGTTAGCTTTTAGCGCTAATAGCGACGGGTCTGAAACTTAACCTGCTGTTTGACTAACGGCGACTCGGTAATCTTTGCAGTAACGCAAACGCACGAAAATCATATTGACGTAGTTTACAAATGGTAGATTTTCAGTCACAACTAAAGTAAGTAAAGGGCGTTTTGTCCTCTAGCAAAACTGGCAGCAAACCATACGTGTCTACACCTCAACTCGCTACGTGGCTTATTGATTTGCAAACATGTTTGAAAAAAACATTATAAAACAAAATTAAAAACAAGTTATATATATTTCATACTAAATAATTAAGCACCAGTTAAGGTAAAGATAAAATCAAATTATCTGATAAAAGGCTTTGACCATAGAGAAAATAATATACAATAAAATATACATAATGTAAATGTAATTAAGATTGAATAGTAGTTGTAGACGGCCAACGTCCACATTCATTTAAACTCAAGCATCCTTTATTGTTATGACTATAAAGAAAATTTGAATACACACATTTGTGTTTTTATGTTTCTTTATTCTGTTTCCATAGGAAGAATTATGTGACATGATACAGAAAAGGTATGTTGACTTCCTACCCAGTCTTCAAGTATCTGTGGACCTGGTGGTGCAGGTTGATGAGGTCTCCAAAGAAATGGATATTCTGAAAACTTGTATAGAGAATGAGGTGCAGTATTTGTGAAACATTTAATAACACACTACCCCATATTCTCTTGTGTCTTATGGGATTTTATCTGTTCATGTTTATGACTACAGATACAACAGAATATTCACCTGGCTGTGGCTGACTATGAAAATCTAAAGCAGCAGCTGGAGAAAAACACTATCATTATAACAATGTTGGGACATTTAAAGGAGGTATGACATAGGTTAACTTTATAAGTTTAATGTCATGTTTGTAATATAAAACTAAATAACTTCAGTCTTTTCTTGTTTGTCTCAGTTTGATAATGCAATGGAAGACTCCAATAAAGCTTTACAGGAGAAGCAGTATGTTGAAGCAGCCAACCATCTTGAAAGAGTAAGAGCTGATTTTTAAACAATCACCACAGTCTGTTGTATTGAACAAGTAAATTACAGTACAGTTGACCATAAAGGTTATTGTATTGTTAAATGTAGTCAGAGATGACCTGTCATCGCATAGCCATACTGATGTAATTTGTTTTCTGAATGATGTGTCTAATAATTGGCTTGTACAAATTTTCAGGCCAGATGCAGTTTAGATTTATTACTGGATTGGAAAACAACCCACCTGCCACTGCTCAGTAACCTCAGTTCTGAGTTGATTGTTCAGAGAGAAAACCTGATTTACCATCTGGGTGATGAATGGAAGCAGCTTGTCATTTGGAGATTACCATCCCCAAAGGGTAAAACTCTTTTTTTTATGACACATTTTTACATGTAGTAATACATTATGCTAATTAGTAATTGTATTATCTAATAGGAATGCTATTTTTCACATTAGTATTCTGTGAGGAATAGGAACAAAAATCACAGATCCTTTTCTGTCATGGAATTTTAATAGGTTCCTTACCTGTCAACATTTTCCTCCATGTGTATTGTTGTTAACATTGGCGTTTGGATGTGTGCCACCAGAGCCTGCTGATGTCAAAACCTTGCTGAAGGTAGAGCTGAATCTGAAACATCCACGCAGTGAAGATGAGGAACCAAAACCATCTCCTTTGTTATGCTCGGTTTTGCAAGCTCTGGCCATCCAGGGAGACCTTCAGAACAAGATGAAGCGCTTTAGTAAGACCAAGACAAATGACTCATTATCAATAGAACAATCTTGATTGAAACCTCACTATGTGTACAGCTACTAAAATTAAAACACATTTTCCACTCTCAGGTCAGGTGCTGGTGAAGAACATGTTGAAGCCACTTGTGATGCATCCATTGCTGTCAGTGAGGGTAAAAGAGCAGGAGGATGAGGGAACTGTTCTGACCATAGTGTGTGTAGAGCAGAGCCAGGAGAAATCAGCTCCATCACAGGTTTACAGCAAACTGCTCCTAGTGCTCAAGACCCTTCACTCACATCTACTAGGTACAGTGCTGTTGGACATGCATTAAGGTTTAAAGTTTAGGTTGTAATGAGATGTAAAGTTGCTGCATCTTGATCTATTGTCAGTTTCAAGCTAGTAGTAAAGTGGCTATAATCTCTTACTATTTGTGACTTTTTATTTAAAAATTTAAGTTGTTTAATTTTGAATCTTTAATTTTGTAGATGTTTCCATTAGGAATAAAAAGCTCTCAGCCATCCTGGGTGAACTGATTTGGCCGGAAATCTCTCAGTGCATCATCCGTGAGTGTCTGCTCAATTCCATCCCCACCAACGTCAGTCAGCTGGAGAAATATAACACTGTAAGGACCAAACCTTTTCTGTAGAAAATGTTGTATTGTATATTTCTAATAGTAATATTGATACAATGTTTTCTTGCTTGTTAATTAAGGTGATTAAGGAAACAGAGGAGTTTGAGAAGTCTTTGAAAGACATGGACTATCTCCAGGGTGATTCCACAGACCTGCTTAAGTACGCCAAGAATGTCAACTGTCACTTTGCCAGCAGGAAATGCAAGGATGTTATTGTGGCTGCTCGCAAACTCATGACCTCACAGCTGCACAACACTGTCAAGGTATATGCCTGTTTGGATGAGACCACACCAGAAAGTGAGAGATGAAAGTGGGACTGTCACTGTTAACAAACAATTAAAAGCAGTTTATTTGGCCAACATACAAGTAATGGACATACAATTTTAAACTTAATGGAAAAATAAAATTCTATTTCAAAAGTTGAAGACTTGGTGATAGGAGTCTGAGCTGTTATGAGGCATATAACCATATCATTATTTTTTAGATCACACCAGACTCAAAGCTGCAACTTCCAAAGCTGCCAGTGCCAAAGTCAGAGTTGAAGGTGAAGCAGAAGACAAAGGAGGACGTCACGATGGAGAACACAAAGCAACTGTCTGTCTGGAGTCTGTGCCTGCCAGCATGTCGTGTCAGTGAGTTAGTGCAGCAGCTGATGAAGCTGGCAATCAACACTCTGCATGAGGCTGTTGGAAGCTCCCCTCAGTGGTGGGTTATAGTCTGCTGCCTTTGGATTTACATCAGATTTTGAAAATGTCATGTTAATCATATTACCTAATTTTATCCATTTATTTTTATTTAATAATTACAGAATTACATAACTGATGACTTCGAATTTCTAAATTAAATATAAATATGTAAAAATAATAATTAAAAAACAATGATTAATCCTGTTCCTATATAGAAATGTTTTTAAATGTAATGGGTGTTTCTGTTCTCATCAGTGCTTTACAGCTATTCTTCACCGTAAAGAACATTTTCCAGCTGTTCTGTGACGTTGTACCCACATATCACAAGTAAGTTGTGTTTATCATCATAAACGCAACACAGGCCGAACTGCTTGTTGCAACTGATGCTGTTGCCTGTTTCTCTGCTGCCCCCTTCAGGGAAAACCTGCTCAAGTTCCCTCAACTTGCTGCTATTCATCACAACAACTGCATGTTCCTGGCTCACCACCTGCTCACACTCGGACATTATTTCAAAGCCCACTTGCCACAGCCACTCAACGAGGGGATGGCCACGTTTGTCGACATGGTTCCCGGGTTCAGGAAACTGGGTAAAAAAGCACTTCAACATCTGGCCACATGACTGTGAAATTTGGTGCAGATTAAGTTATAATCCAAGGCAGATTATTTCAAAAATGTTATTTATTTGGACTAGTGCCTTGATAGTATCGTTGCATTTTTCTCTCAGGTGCTCAGTGCTTTTTAGATCAGATGAATGTGCAGAAAGCTGAACTGTTGGAGAGACTTTCCACTGCTCACAACTTCTGCAACCTGGATGATGATGATAATTACACCGCAGCTAGCAGAGCCGTGAGACAGGTCAGCATTTAAATTCAGATAATCGTGTAGTGAGGTATGTAGATTTGTCCTGTTGTTGAAGACTGTGTTGGTCTTGAGTACATCACACTTATTTATTCACTCATGATCTGTTGAAATGCAGGTCATTCATCAGTTAAAACAACTGGGCACAGTGTGGCAGGATGTGTTTCCAGTCAACATCTATTGCAAAGCCATGGGCCACCTTCTCAACACTGCCATTGCTGAAATAATTTCCAAAATCATGATGCTAGAGGTTTGTATACATCTAATATCAGCTACTGTAGGACCATAAATACATCCAGCTATCAGCTACTAGTCTGAGGTCTGTAAAAACCTGGTGTCTCTGTCAAATTCATAATAGTATTGTTTTCTTTTCACTGTCAACAGGACATTTCCTCTGATGAGGGTGAACACCTATACGGTCTTTGCCAATTACTCATCAAGGAAAGTCCTCTGGTTTTTATGCCTTTGGCTGAGGAGGAAGAGAACAAGAAATATCAAGAGGAAGTTCACCTCTATGTTAAGAAGTGGGGAACTTTTAAAGAGCTGGTGATTGTGCTGAGGTCAAACCTGCAGGAGATTGTTGACAGGTATGAAGGAGACATAATATAGAATCCTTAATGTCATAAAATGGAGTCTGTGGTGTGCTCTTGCAGTTTGTACCTAATTAGACAAGTGTTCTGTACTCCTTTTTAAACACTTTTTTCACTAAGTGTCTTTTGTTCATGTTCGCTGTTCACAGGTGGGCTGATGGTAAAGGTCCACTTGCGTTGGAATTTTCCAATTCAGAGGTGAAGAATCTGATCCGAGCTCTGTTTCAGAACACGGACAGAAGAGCCGTCGCTCTTACCAAAATCAGATGAATACAAAGACTTCATGACCTTTTTTCAAATTAATGCAGCACACAATTTTTTTCTCTTACATATTGTACACCTAAATGTGCCACAAACTAGTAAAACTCCATAAACAAAGTTGTCTCAAAACATTTCTTTATAATTTTCTTTAAATCTGATTTGTTTTGCTTGGATACTACTTGATCAGCTCAGACCTCTAATCCAAACGTAATCAATCTGTCATGTTGGAGTGACTTCAATTAGGGATTACGCAGAGGTTTCTTTACATCAGCTTCCTGCAGATCCAAGTCATAGAGCTGGTGGATTTATCATGACAAAGCCAGCAGAGGTTGTGTAACCAGAGACGTGCCATCTGTCAGCATGTGATGTCCAAGGATCTAGTGTCCGTTTCTTTGACACTCACACCCTTGGTGCCTTAAAGAAACATTTTCGCCTTGGCAGTGAAGCTATGCACAAGAAGCTCTGTCTTTTGTTTAAATGTTTCCTGTATCATGTCAAATTTCTCTCTAAATGTATTTATTAAATGTCCAAGTAAACAATTTTTTTAGCAAACTTCTGAGTGAGAGCTGTTTATTTTTAGGAACACAATGTTTGTGCCACTTCATCTTGTTCATATTTTCTTAAAGGTTGTTCTTTACCCTTGTGCTACATGAATTGTTTCGATAAAGCAAAGAATATTTGCTACTGTATAATCCAGTCAGCATGACAAAGTGACACAGCAACTATATGTAGTGTTTGAGGTTGAATGTTGCTTGAATCAGCTGTGTAAGATACTCAAGAGGAGGAGGAGACAGAGCTGGACACTTGTCCATCAGCTCTGTGTTTCTTTACATCTGATCAAACCTCATGACTTTTACTAGGACAGTGGGACAACAGCAGCTGGAGTCTTTAGTTCTACAAGGTATGTCTTTGCTACTTGTTAAAACTGAATATTAAAAAAATATTAATGGCATTGTGGTGCAATTATAAAACCAAGTCAATAGTTTTTGGTTTGTTTTTCCAGACTTAAAAGTTATATATACAGAGGTTATAATTCTAGGTTGACTAAAGCCCATTCAGATAAATGCGTGTGATGAATTTAGGTTATATTAATGTACATTTGGTTTTGAAGATTCTTGTTTTTAATAATTATGAAAAAACAGAAAAAATGTCTCATAACTATATCTGGCATCTGAACCTTAGCTGAAGCTTAAACAAGCTTAAACAATTATATCTTTTGGCAGGTGTTGAATGTGTGATGTTGAATTTGATTAAGTTTTTAACCAAACTTGACTGGAAATGCTAAAAATAATCACAGCATTATTACAGATCTAGAGTCATTTTATTTTTTTCTTATGCCACACCTGATTTAACCTTTAGATTAGGCAAAGAAGGAAGTTGTGACCAGGGGCCAAAGACATTCTCCCATATTCTATACAGAAGGTAGAAACTTGCACAAATGTACAAACTAACATTGATGTTATGTACAGGCATAGATTGATTATTTTCATGTATGTTTAAATAGTTTTATTGCAAGAGTTATTACACATACCAACAATGGTATTCCTAAGCCTTTCCAACCACACATAGGATAATCTTTACAAATCAATCATGTTCCTTAGTCTTTCTCGGATTAACTTTGTGGATTACTGCTAAGCTTCGTGTGTAATAAGTTGCAGTGGTGCTGAGATACTGATCAGCCCATATCAGTTTGTTAGAAACTCATGGTGCACTAATGATGAAACATCAGCACTGCTGGGCTTTTATCAGCAGATGCATGTGGAAGTCTTAACTCATGTTTTCTACTACATATTGTGTATTTTAATAAGTCACATATTTTAATTTAATGTCATTTCTACAACAAACATGAACTGGGGGCTAGTCAACATCTGGACAACCTCAGCAATGAGCTCTACTGTGTTGGTCAGCAGAGAGACATTGCAGAATCTTCAGTGCAGCAGTCACAGACAGATGTCCATTGCTGTGGAACCTCGCAGAAACTCCATTCCGCCAACACAGACTCTCACTGCCAAACACCTGCTAGCCTACCTGCCCATACCAGAGTCAGGGTCCAGACAACACAGAAGTAACATTAACAAGGTACTTGTTACAGGCTTTCTGTTTTAATCACTGCTATGCCTATCGTTCATATTGTATGACGCTTACAATTTTCCAATTTTCACCAAATCATATCCAGTAAATTAGGTTACTGTATATTATGGTTGTTGTGTATTTTAATACATTTGAAAATACTTATTATATTTTTGTCCTTTCAGACAAACACTCAGGGTCCTGTCAAATCCACTGTTGTGTCCATGATGATCCCAAAAAGACCCTCCTTTATCTTCAACAATATTAACTACGCTAACTGGCCACCACTCCCACCCCTTGAGGAGGCCTCAGCCTCCCAGACCCAGAGGCCCTGCAGTCAGACCTCCCCGACACTAACTCTGGCTCAGTCCCCCCAACAGCAGGCTCTCCTACCAGTTCCTCAGGAAGCGTCTGAAGAAACCCTCGTGCCTCAGCGTGTGCATCGCAATAGGCATTTCAAGCGCTTCAGCTCCAGGTGGCAATCACGAGGTTCCACTGGCAGTAACAATATTCCAGTCCCTATACTGGAGAAACAAAATGGTGCAAAGAGTCACAAAAAGCGTTGTAAGCTCTTAGGTGATGATCAGTTACTGCATGCCACTGTCAGCCATCAACGTCAGCGATACGTCACCAAGGACGGAAAATGCAGGGTCAATCTGGGACCCATTGTAGAGAAGAGTCGCTTTATCTCTGATATTTTCACCACGTTGGTGGATCTCAAGTACCGCTGGTTCCTCCTCGTCTTCACTCTATGCTACATTCTCACATGGGTGACCTTTGGTGGGATATATTTTTTTGGGGCCTGGTTGCGTAATGACATTAAGCATGTTAATGACCCACAATGGCTGGCTTGCTATGAAAATGTGGATGGATTCCTGTCAGCCCTTTTGCTATCACTGGAGAGCCAGAGGACTATTGGGTATGGCTCCAGGATGGTGACTGCTAACTGTCCTGAGGGTGCCATGCTGCTGATGATCCAGTCCATCCTTGGCTCCATAATTGATGCTCTAATGGTGGGCTGCATGTTTGTTAAAATTTCCAGGCCACAGCAGAGAGCTCAGACTCTGATCTTCAGCAAACACTGTGTCATTTGTGAGCGCGACGAGAAGTTGTGTATGCTATTCCGTATCGGTGATCTCAGGGAGAGTCACATGGTGGACGCCAAGATCAGAGCCAAACTTATCAAGTCCAGGCAGACCAAGGAAGGCGAGTTTATTCCACTGGAACAATCAGAAATCAATCTGGGTTATGACACTGGGGGAGACAGGTTGCTATTGGTAGAACCCCAGACTATAACCCACGTCATCAATGAAAACAGCCCTTTCTGGGAGGTTGGGTCTGAGCGGTTAAAGAGAGAAACCATAGAAATCATTGTCATCCTGGAGGGAATTGTCGAAGCATCAGGTTTGTATTTCATTTCATTTGTCTTTCAAGGGACCGAACCTCCCACCCACGATTCTTCACACTTGACCCTTAGTCTTAGATAGTCACCATTACTAGCATCTCTCAGACCTAAAAAAGTACTTCAAACTAGTCTCAGCAACTAAACCATATACTGATTTCCAAATCTATAATCTAATGATTATTTTGTGTTATAGGTATGACATGCCAAGCAAGAACGTCCTACACAGAGGATGAAATTCTGTGGGGCCACCGATTTGAGTCATGTATTTCCTTGGATAAAGGAGCATTTCGTGTAGATTACAGTGCGTTTGACAAAACCTTTGAGGTGCAAATGCCCCTGCTGAGTGCAAAGGACAGAAGCTCAACAAAGGAACAAGCAATTTCAGACAATTATTGCTAGACAAAGTTTTTTTTCCATTTCGTACATTACATATATTGAATGATGTGATATTGCACAAGCTACATAACTTGATCCTTATCATTCTTCATCTCAGGATAGTTGAAGCCTGTGTATAGTTTGTTGTTTGAAATGTACATTGTTTAGCTAATGCTTTCTGTTTGTGTTTTACTATTTGTAAAGATTAAAATAAAAATTGGGCTAAACCCAATTGTAAAATAGAAACTGTACAAAAAAATGTGTAGTACATTGTCAGAACTTATGTTAAAACGATTATGTTGAAACGATAAACGCTTCCCCTTAATTCCAAACTGATGAGCAGTGTTAAAAATAGGAAGAAGATGCATTGATGATTTTAATCATATGATTATTTGTATTATAGAGCCACACAATATATTCAAATGTTTATCTTGTGTTTTGTACCAATATATTATTGAACTGAATTGACTGCTATGTGCAAATGAATGGCTTTTATTGGCTGTTAAAGTGCACTTCTTCATTTAAAATTAAACAAATACATAAACTACCACAATTCTTATAAACATCTTACAAAAATACAGTTCTCATACATATTTGAGTCATATCTCGTTTCTTGTTCCAAACATAGTGACCTGGGCAGTAAGAAAACCTCATCTTTTGTTTGTTACACCTTTGTTTGTGTAATTATTAATAGGTTTCATTCAAGGATATGCCAGTCTCATTAAATTGCCTGGTAAATTATGCTGGACAAACAGTGGGATAACATAAAAGGATTTCAGAAATGTAGAATACAAAGGAGATTAAATGTGAGCGATGACAAATGGTTAATAATTTGTATCGGTCGTCAGCTCAATTTATTTTCAAAAATATTTTCCCTGCTTTGCATTTCTTTTAAGTTAGGGGTGGTAGTGCACCAAAAAGCTGTTTGCTAAACGCCGATAGACCGAAGAAGAAGAAGTGTCAGAAGCGCAGCATGATGGGATATGAGAGTCCTCCGGCGGCGCGTTGCCGCCATGTCACCTCGAGAGAAACAGATAGCGATTTTCTCTCTTTTAGGCGTAATAACTCTCGCTCTTTATTGTAGTCCATTTTTTCTTTTCACAACTTTAGCACTAGTAGCTTGCTTTATTTTGTGTTATTCTTTCCCCGCCTGGCTAGGCCTTAATCCGCGGGCTGGACTGAAGGAGCCAGGTGTGCTCGGCCGCTGGTTGCTGGGTTTGGGGGTTACCGGCGTGTCGGTTCCCACACGGAGGAGAACAAAAACTAGCGACAACAACAGAAACGAGCGCCGGGAAGCGGAAAGGAACTTCGTACCAAGTCATAGGGAAGCCGGGATTTATCGCGGCGAAGCTTTGTCAAGTGACTCATTTCTTTTCAGTCCCAGAGATTTCCTCATGGGGAGTTACATCGGTAAACCTGAAAGTCCGTCCTCGGAGTTTGTGAGGCCCAGAGTTGTGAGAAATCCCCGAGAGCAGCTCAGAGATAAGCTGTCCAGACCGAACCATGCTGTCTGTACACCCAACAGGAGGCTGTCATTTGCTGGGTATGTTTGTAATCAAATCACGCTGTTGAAAAACGTGCGCCGTTGGGAGGCGCTAACGGTTTCCCAGCGGATGTTATCCAAAAAATTCAAAGTTCCAACTTCTTGGCGGGTTTTAACTATTGGCTCCCAAGCCTTTCAAAGTGTTGTGTTCGTAAAATCTGAGCCTAAAGCCGTTGCTGTACTTTAAAATCTGTACACCCTTCCTGAAAGCTCAATGTTTGTCCTGTCTAGTTGCCCATAAACCTGGGCCTGAACAATTGTTGCAAATGCAAATAGCACCTAAAAGGCTTCACTTTAGGCTGCAGTATTTAGTCGAGTAGTCAGTAGTAGTTGATAGAAAATTACTTTAACTTTATTGATTGACACTAATTTAATTAGTTTACTTATTGTTTAGTCATTTTTAAATACTAATGCAATTTAAGAAAATATTTTTATTTCATAGTTAAAATTAAATTAAAAATGTAGTTAAAGCCCCCGTTAGATTTGCTGAAGTATTTTATTTTACTATTTGTCCTATTTCAAATTTTCACAGAATGTTCTGAAATATTAGAAATTGTAGCTCTTTGTAGCTGTTTACCTAGAGATTTATATTTTCAAGCTTGACAAAAAAAAACAACTCTTCCTAACACATTAAAATATTCAAAAAAGTAAATCAAACTTTTTTTGTCTTGCAGGGAGCCAACAGGTACGGTGGGTAGATTCTCCATTACACCCCATCGCCATTACCCCCTGCAGCAGCCTGGTGCCTCATCAGTGGGAGTTTTACCTCCTGTGAGGTGGGATGGCTTCAGAAAGAAGAACATCCTCAGTCCCCGTAACTCTTCAGCCACCCACAGTCCTGTCACTGTGAAAATTGCCAGACCCAACCACAGCAGCCCCAGGTTGCTACATTCATATCTAACAGTAGTCTCATTCATTAAAAATATTTTAACAATGGAACTGCATGTGAAATGATTGAGTAATTAATTCATTGCGTTTCTCATGTTTTACCTTTAGACTGGACCGTCTGAGTTGCACTGGGCTCCTAAAGGCTCCTGTGGACCCTTGCTCTAGAGAAAGTGTCCTCAAGGTGTTAAAAGAAAGCCGCAAAAGAGAAGTGGAGGATGAGGACCGGAGCTTTACAACAGAGCAGCATAGTAAACGAAGGTAACAAGATAAAAGGGGATTTCTGAAGGGTAATGCATAAAATGGGTTATTAATTGTCCTTAGAGCTCCTGTTTTGTTTCAGTTCAAGGGCTCTGTTGAAAGGATTAATTTATCTTATTGTGTGTTTTTAATCAATTTTCCAGACGGAATGACAGCGGTGGAAGTTCTAACTCTGCTTTTGAACCTCTTTTGCCCAATGGGATACCATCACAGTTGGTCCCCAAGTGAGTTAATGTTTTAAATCTTGCCTTCAAGTTTGATAAACTTCTAGATGGTTTAAAGTAGTGCAGAAAACATTGTGTAAACGTTTCCCATCTTTAGGCCGGGAACCCTGAAAAGAGGATTGGCATCACTAGAGGAGTCCATTGTAAAGAGGTCTCGCACTTCCTCCATTAGCTCTGGTAGTGGAATTCATGCTCCCAGAGGAACTCCAGGAGGTGCGAGAAACCCGATCTTCAGCTCCTACAGTTCTTCTCATGGCCTTAGCCAGGTAACACCCAGCTGCTGTTTAACATTGTCTTTGGCCTTGCTGTGTCTGGGTGGAGTGATAAAGAGTTGTCTCCTGTATTGTCTGTGTAGTGGACAAAACCATCAACCCCCAGTTCTCCACTGTCTAGCCCTGGTTCATCTCGTTGTCAGACTCCAGAAGGAGCTTCTAAAAGACCTAGGTATGTGTCCACAGATTATTCTCTCTTGGTTGCTGTCAGGCACAAACAAGATCTCATTACATTTCCTTGTCCTAAAATTTCATTATCAGAGAGGATGATGCTTTGTCTCCCAGTTCTGCCTCCTCAGTGAGGTCAGAGAGGACAGCTTTGGAAAAAGCACCTATTACATGTATGTATAAAATCTCTTGGAAACAAACAGAAATTGGTATTCTGCCTCAAAGCTGTTGGTTGTAGATAAAATGTTTCATGACGCATTTGCAGCCAAGCTGACTCCAATCGCTAAGATTCCCATCGCTACCTCAGTGGACTCAACAGGTAGTGGAGGGAAGAGAAAAAGAAAGATCCAGTTGGTGTCCAGCAATCGAGAAGATCAGATTTCTCTGGTGAGTTGTGGTCTACTTCTACACTGACTGACAGAAACCTTTGTCCAAAGTCATCCAGGTGTATGGTTTAAATGTCTTTACCCCCCGTGTTCATCGATTGACAGCCTCCACCTCCAGAGCTAGGCTATAGCATTACAGTGAAAGATATTGATGAAGAGAAAAAAGCTGCCATCAGTAAGATCCAGAAAGTTCTGGAGACACCTGGTAAGTATCTTTTTATATTTATCTAGTTTGTGGTTGGAAAGCTCAATACGGCTGTGGGGGAAAAATTGCCTGAGTTGATATTTAGTGAACTAAATCAATACTATCCTCGTTTTAGCACCAGAGCCAGAGAAACCGGTCTCTTCCCCAGTTACTACTTCAACAGTGTCCGCTTCCACCAGCAGCTTTACTGCTGCCTCTTCTACCACCACCCTGTCTAGCCTTCTAGCAGCTCCTCTCCCCAAAACCTCCAGTTCTGCTGTGGCAGTCATTAACCTGGATCCCAGCCCAGGCAAAAGTGTCAGCACCACACCTGCAGCTCCTAACCCTCTGCTGGAAGCTCTGAAAAGGAGCAGCGCTCCTGGCAACTCCACTGCTGCAGCCACCACAACCACAGGTATGAAAGTACATTAGGTAGACTTACACATGGTCTTTAATTATTATATTTTTTGCCATTTAAAAAATAACTTGTCTAACTACATTATGTGATAAAGTTCACCTTACTCTTATAACATAATTTTCCATCAGGTATTAAAATATTGATTTAAATATTCTACATTATATTTATGCAGAATACTGATTGTACCTGAGACAATGTTTGGTCTATGAAATGGTAAATTTTAACCAGGTGATCTGGTATTTTCCTGGTTGCGATGAACAAAAAAAAAGAAAAAGAACGAAAAGCAGCAAACTGGAGATATATTGTATTTACCCCACTAATTACAATATGTGTTGTGTGTATTTAGTGTCTGTTCCAGTTACAACAGTGCCAACCAGTGGCCTAGACTTGAAGCCTGCAGCTGCAATGAGTTCTCCTCAGCTGCCTGCTGCCTCACAGACTCAGCCCACCTCCACTTCCTCCTCAACTGGGGCACAGCAGCCCCCTGCCTTTACTCAGGTGCTGGATCAGGTCTTTAAGTCTTCCAGCAGCACCCCACCTGTAGCAGGACTGCCCAGCCAGAACAAGCCCCTGTCTGCACCTGCGACCTCTGTCCCAGTCTCTGCTTGTGTTGCACCAGCCAGCAGCTCTGCGTCGGTCAGTCACACAAACCCTCTGCTGACTTCAGGGTTCAAACCCATTTTTGGTGCTGTCGCAACCACCGCAGCCCCTGCAGCTTCATCAACATCGTCAACTTCATCAGACAGCAAACCAGTGCAGACATTCACACCTATTTTCGGAGGAACAAGTGTAGGTGCTGTCTTTGGACAGCCTGCCTCTCTCTCTACCACCAACCCAACAATGGCAGTTTCTTCAAGTAGTACGTCATCCATATTTGGTATGTCAACAAATAGTGCCAACACCACACCCGCCTCATCACCTTTCCCCAGCTTAAACAACCTCCCCACTGGAACAGCCGCCTCCACCGTCACCAATACCACACAGCCTGTGGCCCAGCAAAGTGTTAACTCAGTTTTCGGAAGCTGGTCAGCACCACCCGCAACAACTAACAGTTCAGCTATATTTCAGGCTCCTAGTACAGGGAGCACATATCAATTTGGAGCTGTCAAAACCACCACCACCACAACTACTGCTGCAGCTGCACCTGCACCTGCCCCAGCTGCGGCCACAACTTCATCTAGCAATACTACCTTTACATTTGGTGCTGCACAGCCAGACTCCCAAGCTGCCAGCCAGAAGGTTTTTGCCTTTGGTCAGCCAGCACCCAGTCAGAACTTGACCACAGCTTCATTTGGAGGCTTTGCAATGGCCACTTCTGCACAGCCCACTACTACATCTAACACACAGTCTACTTTTACTTTTGGGAAGTCTTCATTTGATGCCCCGACAACGCAGCCAACATTTGGCTCCTCAACAACTCAACCAAAACCATTTACTTTTGGTGGCAGTACAGCATCAACCACACCGGCCTCGACCCCCACCGCAGCTCCTTTTACCTTTGGGGCTGGAGCAGCGGTGGCAGCTGCAGCCACAACTGCGCCCACATTTGGGACCCCAGCTAAACCAGCATTTGGAGCTGGTTCTGCTGGTTTTGCTTTTGGTAGCTCCACCCCAGCTGCAGCTATGGCACCACCAAGCTTTGGTGCAGCACCAGCCCAGACTCAGAGCTCATCCTCTACCACATTCACATTTGGTAGCAGTGCACCGCAGCCAACAATGTCTGCTCCTTCTCAGCCAGCGACCGGTGGATTTAACTTTGGGTCTGGAATGTCTTGTCCTCAGTTTGGAACACCTGTCCCCAATAATCCTGCACCGCAAATGGGAGGCTTCAACTTTGGGGCAGCTGCGGCTGAAAAACCAGTGTTTGGTAAGAGGACATAAGATTTTGTATTTTCTTTATTACATTTGTTTGATTTAATTAAATTATTTTGTATTTATTGTTTAGATTAATTATGTGATTTCGGGTGTTTTTTTTTCCCCCATAGGCACATCTACCCCATCTTTTGGTCAGAGCACTGCTGTAGGTCCAGTGCCCTTTGGAAGTCCTGCTACTCCACTCCAAGGCTTCAGTCCTTCTCCTTTTGGTAAGTCAATAAAGCTACTGCCCGCAGGTGGATGACATTCTTTTGACGTGCTTGGCTTTGAGAAACAACCACAACAAAACAAAATTTCATTTTTATTAGCAACATGCAGACATTTATTGTTCTTTTTTGGTTTTTTGGTAATGCAGACATTTATTGTTCTTTTTTGGTAATACCATTGTCTAAAGATCACTTTTTCTTTTTTAAGGTTCTCCAGCGACTCCTTCCTTCTCTATTGGTGCTGGATCAAAGCCATCTGGAGCACGTCAAAGACTACAGGCACGAAGACAACACAACAGGAAGAAGTAACCTACATGTGTATCTCAGCTTTTATGGGACTTCAGTTGCCACTGCTATGGCAAGTTCAGCCACTGTTGCTCTGTTCTACGCTCATTTTCCCCAAACCAGACTGCCATGCAGCCCCCGGCCTTCATATCCTGGTTAGAGCTTGCCCTAAACAAAGTGTTTGGAGGAGTAAGAAGACCCAGCTTGTGGAGTTCACACTGCCGGGAAGACTGAGGGAGTGTAGAAGAGGAAGGGTTGAATCCAGGACAATGTACAGTAAATGAACAGAGACAGAAGACAGTGGTTTAGAGAAGCATATCCAAAGTTCTTTTTTGTTTCCTTTTACAGTATGTGGATGTGTTTTTTTTTTTTTTTTGGTTAGGGAAAAATCAAGTCTGGAACCTGGACTTGAAACCCCTTTTTTTCCATTCTAACCTGGACTTGAAACCCCTTTTTTTCCCTTCTTTTCCATTCTTTTTTTTTTTACAGAAAGGTTCTTTGGTTTGTATGTTTGTATATTTGAGTACATTGTCTGAATGAAACTGAATAGATTGAAGTGCACAGTTGATTCAGAGCCAGGTACACAAAGCTGCAATGTAAATGTAAATTGTGCATTTTAAATTATTTTTTTTAATTGGCTTTTCTGAACCCTGTAGATGAAATGTGTGTCTGCACTGAGGCACAACATAGTTATGTGTCTTAATGTAGTTGGAGAAAACCATTGTGTTCTTATTTTACACTTTTTGCCATTACAAGCATTCCGTAAGTTCTCCTGTGGACATGTTTTGGTAGCGATTGCCATCACAGATGTAATTAGGATGAGATGTGATTTAATTGACTACTATTGATTCATGCTGTGGAACCAAAGTCTATTCAATGCCTGTGACAACAATATGTGATCTTTAACCCATCTTTAAATCTGAGATGTTTTTTATTTGCAAGACTACCTCTGTTTACTCCCAGGCACTGAATTCTTGTAAGTTCACTGAAACAAAAGGTCTGATAGTGTTGACTAGAATAATAGATTTTTTTCCATTTAACTACTGCTCATAGAGATGTACCTTAATAAATATGTCTTCTTTTTTATTTACATCTGTAGAAAAACACATTGCCCCTACTTCAGTATTTCTGTTGCAATAGTTTTGCCACATTTGTACCATTTTTTAAATGAGAAAATATATCTTTGTCCAGTCATATCCCTTTACCTGGAAATGTTTCTCACTATGATGCTGGGATATTTAAAGTCTTGAAAATGACTTTTTGCACAATGATATGAGGAATTCTGATAAAAAAGTGCTAGTTCATAATGTCAGTTGTTTTAGAAAAAATATTTCTGATTTAGAGTGATAATCACCTCATGTAAAACGAAGGCCGTATGTGATGCATTTTTGGTTGATTAGGGTTGATATTTTGATTGAATAAAAACAGAATTTTTGGACAAGGCTTTTCCAACAACAACACATTGAATCCTCTTCTTTTTCTTTCGGCTTTATCCCTTTTTTCAGGGGTTGCCACAGGGGTTGCCATATTGCCCTGTTCTCTAGTTTGGAGCAATCAGTTATTTTTCCAGCATATTCTATTTTAAAGCATCTTATAATTACTAATCACATCTACGGCGCGTATAATCCATTTTCTCCATGATAATCGTAGGTATTTTTTTCAAATACTAATACTCCAGTAGACGGCAGCAGTGCTAATTTTACCTAGCACCCAACGAATAAACGGAGAAGAATTGTGCACATGCGCAGTGCCTTTAGTATCGCGTCACTGTAGCCTGTGGTGTCTAGTTGGCTTTGCAACTGTGAACGTGGCAGAAACATTTTACCATGGACCTATCTGCTCTGATTGCTTTGACGCTGTTACTGGGTGCACTTATCATTCTGGTTGCATTCGCTGTGAGCAAACGGAGGAAGGAAATAGGAGAAGAAGCGGCGCAAGAGGCGGAGTTTGCCGGTAAGAGCTAACTGGCTAACGTGACTTCAGCTACTCTCTGAAGCAGCGGTGACTCACCGACTACTGCGCGGATTCCATCCGTGGTTTGCTTTTACCTGAATGATGTGGTGCTGTCGCGTTATTAAATCACCAATATCCATTAAAACACACCGAGTCATTAAAAATTCAAACAACTTTTGAAACTGTCAACTCTCGTCAGCCAATGAGCAGGTGTTGAAGTAACCGACTGATAGGATGATATCCTAGTGACTGCTATTCATAAGTATTGCATGGAAACTTAACATAGTGACAATGATGATGAAAAGTGTTATTAGTAATACATTACCTGCTAGTTAACATATTATTTATATTAAAATAACTTTACCATAGTAATTTCAACTTGAAGTCAATGTAGTAACATATTTGAGATTAAGGTACATTATTAAAGATAAGAAACTTTGAAAACGATGTTTCTCTTTTAGCTGAGGCCAATGCAGTGAAAGGCCCTGCTCCCAAGAAACAGAAGCAGGAGAAGCAGCGTAACCGCAAGGATAAAGCCTCACAGCACAGTTTCAGCCACCCTCTGCTGGCAGCATCATTAAAGGTAATTATGACGTTTTGTAGACAGAACATTTTAAGGGCAGTATAAAATGATATTCATGAAAATATCTGACAAAACACGTTAACCTTTTACGTTAACCTTTTACTTCTGGGTGTTTACAGGCCCACGGAGGGAATGTGACCTGCATTGATTTCAGCAGTAATGGCAAGTACCTGGCCTCCTGCTCCGATGATCGCACCGTTCGCATCTGGAGCACAAAAGACTTCCTGGAGCGGGAGCACAAGTCTCTGAGAGCCAACGTTGAGCTTGATCATGCTACCTTGGTCCGCTTCAGTCCAGACTCAAGGTCTCACTGTCTGTATATTGATTAATTGTGGATACAGCCACATAATTGTCCCATTGCCCCCATCACTGACAGTCATCTTATTACTGCAGGGCATTTATCACCTGGTTGGACTATGGAGACACCATCCGTGTCTTCAAAATGATCAAGAAGGATGATGGCACTTTCACCTTCAAAGCTGCTGCTGAGGACTTTCCAAAGAAACATATTGCACCCATACTCAATATTGGCATTGCAGAGACAGGTATACATTGCTTTATAAGATTTTGCACCTGCCCTGTAGTTAGAAGTAGTGTACGTAAAGCAGCAGGGCTCTTGAAATACACCCTATCAGCTCAAGTAACAACAAGACTTATGAAAGTGTAAGTAAACTACTTGTCATTGTGTAACTGCACACAACAAAACTTAACTTCTGCTTTTAACCCATCACCAAAGTGAACAGTGGGCAGCTTTAAGCGCTCGCAGTGGTAACTTGGCAGCTGGTGGACTTCAACCTGGAGCCTTCCGGACCCAAGTCCACTTCATTAACCCCTAAGACACCACTGCCCCTTATTTTCACACATGCAGTATTTATACCAAGGACAAATGTCTTTAACATCTGTTAGGTGTTTTATTTCTTAACACAACAAAGGCCCCATTGTTTTGTCTGTGAAACATGCTGATCATGTTTCTCTGTTTTTCAGGAAAATTCATCATGAGCGCATCGACAGACACCAACATCCACATATGGGACCTGAGAGGAGAAATACTGGCCTCTATCAACACTAACCAGATGAACAATTCTTATGCTGCCATCTCCCCATGTGGCAGGTAAGTCATCACAGCAAGTACCCCACTTGAAACACCACAAGAGAGCTACTTGAACTATATGTGGTCCGCTGTTCATTCAGAATAAGTAATAGTTTTGATGGCTTTTTCCTCCCCTATGTTATCATCAACTGGGAATCAAATTAAATAAGCCTCTCATCATTTGATGACTTGGTTAGTCACTACTTTTTGGAAAAAGGCTTCATGGCCATTTAATTCTCCTGATTTTTATTTTTTTATCTCTACTAAATCAATTTCTCTATAGTATGGAAATTAGCACTCCTCTGGGTTCGATTCCCAGAGGAACCAGAAATTTGACATTTGCAAAGGGCAACCTGTTCCAGCAGATCTGCTGTTAACACAAGAATTTACCGTGTGTTGGCTCAATAAAGATCAATGTTTGAATTAATTAATTAACTTCTGTGCCAAGGTTTGTAGCATCATGTGGCTTCACTCCAGATGTAAAGGTGTGGGAGATCTGCTTCACCAAAGACAAAGTGTTCAAGGAGGTGGTCCGAGCTTTTGACCTAAAGGGCCATTCTGCAGGTGTCCATGCATTTGCCTTTTCCAATGACTCTCACAGGTAACAATATTTTTTAATGCTGATCTAAACAGACTCAAGCCCTTTTTCTAAAAAAAAATGTCTTGTGTTTCTGTTTTTGTCAGAATGGTCACTGTGTCAAAAGATGGCACGTGGAAGCTGTGGAACACAGACGTAGAGTACAAAAAGCAGCAAGATCCCTACCTGCTGAGGACTGTCCCGTGTGCTTCATCTGAAGGGAGCCTTGCAGCCCTGTCTCCAGATGGCCGGGTGGTGGCTATTAGTAACGGCTGTAATGTGGCATTGTACAATGCTACGACTGGTGAGCTTGAGGAGGAAATGACCAACGTCCACAGTGAAGAGATTGCTGACCTAAGATTTGACACGACTGGACGTTTTTTGGTGTCCTGTGGTGACAAAGCCATTCGAGTTTTTCACAATGCCCCTGGCTACCGAGCCACCATCAGAGACATGCAGGACATGCTGAAGAAAGCCCAGAATGAAGGCATGAAGCAGAGATTGCAGAAACAAATAAAAGAGGCTCAAAGTGCATTGGACGCTGTGTTAGCTGCTCCTGTCCACTGAAGCTCCAGAAAGAGCACTGTGATTGTGAATGTGACTGCAAATATATGTAAATATATTTTTCCCAGCCAATCATTTTCTCTGCCACTCTGATTGGTCCATACAAGTGTTGGCATGCAGTTTTAATAAAGAATTTATTTTTAATCTAAACATTTTACAACTGACATGACTTTGTTCAAGTGACCCTTTTATTTACGCTTACACAGCACAACCATTTCTTTTGGACTTTATTTTAAACTCACTATATCAACTTTTCTGTTCCTCAACCAAAACCAATATTGACTAGCAAATGTAAAAACAATGTTTGGTAAAAAATGTTAACTTCTGAAAATTTTGAATTTAAATATTTAAATTGTAATCACAGACCTTGCACTTCCAATTAATTCGTAAATGTTTAAAATATA